GAGAGAGAGAGAGAGAGAGAGAGAGAGAGAGAGCACTGGGATATTTAATTGAATGGTGTTGGCCAGGCATACAAAAATCTAGTGACAATATATGCAATTAGTTTCGAGAATAGCAGTTGTTTTTTGTCCATTAATTCATTGGACTTTTCACTTAATTTATAAGTCTATTGCGGATATGTATGAAAGAAATAAGTATATATTATATATTTTTGTGCCGATTCTGCGCTATGAATGGGTATCACAGGAATATTCCGTAGTATATAAGCGTGTGTTTGGCTATAATGACAGTCATATAGTGGTGTTCACGCACTATAGCCAAACAATTGTGAGTAAACTTTTTACTTTGCTATATATGTGGCGATAAGTTTGAGATTGGTTTTGAATCTATTATTAAATAATAAATATTATATTTATTATATATGAAATATTTTGACAAAAATTCACATAATTTTGTGTATAATGTATGTGTGTGCGAGATACAAATTTTAATTATAGTCTCCAATTAGCGAAATGAAAGTCTACTTTGAAATATTAATTTGAAATACTGTTAAGGAGTTTTTGTGAGCGTACAATATTAATTATTTATCCAGTTTGTATGATTTTAATGCAAATACAAACAATAAAGTTTTATTTTAATTGTGTTTGTTGAACATAATTATAATTTTTACTCTGAATAAATCACTAATGAGCTGCTATTTTCGTAATCAACTGTTTGTTTTAGGTGTTTTTGAGACTTAAAATGTAAAATAAAATTGCGAAACAATACTGCATATTAATTTGACAGTGATTATTTTGTACATCATACATACATAAGTATACAGAATATTCTGTGAAAACTGTTAATAAAATTTTGATTAAACATTGAACACTATTTCTAAAATATAATATTTTATATGAATTCCTATTAATATAACTAAACCACAAATATTCTGTGTATTCTGCATAAAGTTATCATAACTATAATAATATTACACAACAAATACCTTGATAATACAAAAATCAGCATGGATATAATTTTGCACAACTTATACGAAAACGAGACAATAATACCGTATATAGTGAACGAGACTACCGGTGACGGTGACGGGTGCGGGAACGGTATGGACATCACCGACGGCTTTGACTTCAAGGAGTTTAACTTCCCGAACCCGGAGTACCTGAACCCCAGGCCATTCACGTGGGCCGAGTACTCCAAGATAGGGCTGTATGTGGTGGCCATATGTGCCGTAATGGTCGGCAATATTGGCGTTATATTAGCCGTCGCTCTCAACTCGTCGCTCAGATTCACGTAATTATAATCACATTTGAAATACTAATGAGACTTTTGAGACGGGTTTTAGTTAGTAATTAAATTATAAGATTTTTTTTGTGTGTATTTAAGTAGTGATTAGTTGAATATATTGTGTGTTTTAATTGTTTGCGAAATCTATGGTCATCTAATTATGCGATAGTTTAGGCAGTAATTTAATTATAATAAAAAAAATTTTAGTGTTTTTATTTGATGTTATTTTTGTCGACAATTAAATTGTTTTAATGTTTGGTTTACAAGTTTGTTAAATTTGATATTTTTATTTAATTAATTAATTTGTTTTGTAAGTTATCAAGCTATTAAACTTTTTAATTTAATTATAAAGCTTATAATTAAATTGATTTTATACCACGTATTTTAGTATAAATTACTACCTGGCTAACTTGGCAGTCGCTGACGTGCTAATATGCGTGTGTTGTATGTGGACCCACCTGGTCAACCACCTAACCGAGCCCCTGTACGTACTGGGACCGGTAGTCTGTAAATTCAACGGATTCGCACAAAGTAAGCTAGCAGATTTCCACTTATAGTATACTTATTGTTTTACGGTAAACACAAATCACTTTTAGGAAAGTATTATGTATTTGATTTTGAGGTTTAATTGTGTTTTTTTTCGGTCATTCAATATAACATTAGTGTATGTTTTTGTGTCCACTTAATCCCATTTATAAGAGTTTTCTATATTTGATTAGAAAAATGTTATTATTTCGGAAAACATACTCAATAATCCGCTCTCTCTCTCTCTCTCTCTCTCATCCTAAAGCTCCTTTAGATTCATCTCAAGCATGATTTCCCTTTACATGTGAATAATTAATAAAATAAAAATTTAAGCCAATCTTCAGGGACTTACAATGTATTCAAACTTATTAAACAACAAACTCTCGATAATAATCACATATTTATTTTAAAAATATGCCATGTGATATATCTATAATTCATACAGTATCACTATTCAATACATATACCTTAAGCCGTATAGGTATTAAAAATGTATAAATGTTATACAACTATAAGAATTTGCTTTAAAATTATATATTAATATTATTCTGTGTATCGCATACAGAATTTAATTATAAAGATAATATTTATGTCAAAAACAAACCATACGTTTAATTAGTTTTGACGACAGAATAGGTTTTGTATATTATATTAAAAATTCTTGAATATATTTCATGGCAAACAATATGCAAATATAAAAATATTTAAAAAGCATAATATTTAATATTGAAAATAAGGCAAATTATTTTTGACATTCATTTGTTAAATATACCGTAAATATCAATAGATACTGTATATGTAATATAAATTTTAGTAATAAAGTTTATTTATTATATTTCAAAGTTCAGGGTATTTTCGGAATCATTAGTAATATAAAATTTAATTTTCAAAATTGGAGTATACTGTAGTTTATAACAATAACATATTAAATATATTGAGTTTCCATATAAAAAACAATAAACCATAAACTTGTACAGGTATTAAACAATTTCAACATAATAAAAAATATATATATATATATTTTATTTAATATAGTTTTCAAAAAATAATTTGATACCTTAGGAAAGCTATTTTCCACAATAACAAAAATTTGCTTGTTAACTTTATTTAATATAACACAAAACCTTTTTCATATGTTGTATTGAATCACAGCAAGTGCTTATAAAATGCAATACACTTTAAAAATAAATAATATTCAATATATTTCATACAATTTTCTATTTTATTAAATTCAATCCGAAAGCCTACCGGTGCTGTCAAGTAGACTATGTGTCTGGCATTGATACAACTCATACACTAGACTAGAAATTTTCATTTAATTACAAAAACCCGAGACATAAATCTAATCATAATATTCATTAGGCTTTACCCGCAAACAGACAAAACATTTCTCAATCATAATTCTATGACAAGTCTATGAGAAATAAAATTAAATGCAAATAAAATTCATGCAAACAAATAAATCCCACAAAAATCTTATCCCAAATTCATAACTGAATCTGAAATGCAAATACAAAACACAGAATATTCTGCATAAATGAAAACTTTTATTAAGTAATTCAAACACAAAAAACACAAATGATTTACACATTTAATTGCGACAAATAAAAACTTTTGTCTAATATATACATAAAGTTTTGTATTATATTTCTTATATAATAAGCAAACAAAAGTTAATAAACCACATAAATTAA